CTTGGGAAAATAAACATTGATTTTAAACTGGAAAATCGAAAAAAAAATCTTAACCATTGCAATATACGGATATAGCTTAAATATGCGAAAATAATACGTTGAAAAAGCTTAACCAAGGCGAGATAGTGAAGCCCGCATTTAAATATTAATAGAATATTGGGTTGTTAATTTCAAACTTGGCAAAATAAACAGTGATTTTAAACTGGAAAATCGAAAAAAAAATCTTAACCATTGCAATATACGGATATAGCTTAAACATGCAAAAATATTACGTTGAAAAAGCTTAACCATGGCGAGATAGTGAAGCCCGCATTCAAATATGTAATAGACAAGGTTGAGAATTTCACATTTTGTGAAAATTTTTCAAGTTACTTTTTTTCGAAATTTTTGAAAAATCTCAAAAATTGCCGTATCTCGTAAACTAAAAAGATTTGGTAACTCAAATATGGAGGCCAAAATCGCAAAACTTGGGGAAGTTTTGACAGCATCTCATTATTTGGTTGTTAAATTCAAACTTGGGAAAATAAAAATTGAATTTACACTGGAAAATTGAAAAAAATCTTAACCATTGCAATATACGGATATAGCTAAAAATAAATTATTCCAATGGAAATTATGTACAAATTGCATGTATAATTATTTACAGGAATAACATAAAAACATTAAATCATCATGGTAGTATCACGCACCTTAAGAACCACTGTAAGAAGGCCGGATATGGACAACATAGACGATAGTGAAATGAACAGAAAGCAAGGTATGTATAAAATGTGAGTTTATGTACAAAATATAAACAGATGTTTAAAGGTAAACTGGCCTAATTGAGGAAATAATAAACGTCTGAGAGCGCGTCGCTATCTCCCAATGTCCCTAAGACAGACGCCGCGTTTTCAACTTGAATCGCAATGTAGATGCGTTGTTTCATGTAAAATGACGACTTTGGTTCTTGAGTAGTTTCGTTGAGTTTTCTACCCAGGGTCTTGAGAAATTTGAGCGTTTGTGGACCGCATCCGCCTTGAATCGCGAAAGAAACTGGGGCAAAAATGTATCCTCGATTTATTAAGTCAGCGTATTTAGAGGTTTTACGGTTTTCGGCTTCAGAGGCAGCAGAGAATTGAGATGCAGTGCCAGAGGACAGACGGCTTGGTGCCAGGGCGTCGACAACAGTGGCATCCCATATAAATGACTGACTTCTCTCCCAAGGCACCAACTCTCTGGACGTTTCTGGTCTGCTGTGGACAGACCAGGAGGCTCGAGAACTGAAGGAATGTTGATCGATCCTAAAGCTCGCTTCACTACATCGTTAATCATTGAGTGGCGCTGAAGCCTGCCGGCGCTTCTCCTGCACGAAAGACCGTGCCCTCCAAAAAGGTCGACGTGCTCACTACAACGGCAGACGTAAGGCTCACATATGGGGACACCAAGACGAAGAGCGAGAGATAATCTGAGATGGATATTGGAAAGCTTGGGGCCCAAAGAACTTGACGGCAGGGCGGTGAGCCAAGCAGACTGTAGCTTACCCTCGAAAGACTTAAGGCGAATGCGAGATTTATCGTCAGGTGCGTCGGTGATCAGATTATTAAGCCGGGTTCTGTATACAGGGTCAGACCAAGACTTCTGAAAATTGTTCTCGGGGATAGTGGTGGAGCCAGAGAGCTCATACCATTGTGACAAGGCTCCTTCATACAAATGGTCTGAGAAAGGCTTATTTAGGATTTCGGAACAAAGGCGTGAAGAACTGCCAACAGACGAGAGATACCCGCATACGGCAAGAACAGACGCATATCCTAATCCGAGACCACCTAAAGGTGCGGGAAGGGACGTTTGCTTGCGGGCGTCAGTATCAATTCTTATGTTGCAGATGCTCTCGAGGCTGGAGTAGAGGATGTCGTCGTATTTAGCTAAGAGTTCAGCTTAGTTGAAACACGGAGAGGAGCGAAGGATATATAACAACTTCGGGATAGAAAACGAACTCTTCAAAGGAAAGAAAGCATGATGAGCCTCGATGTTTTTCAGACGCAAAAACATGCGCTCCAAATCAGCTATCTTGTCACTGAGAGCATTGGAGATGGCAAGATTCCCTACAGGAGCCCCCAGGATTATCAAGTTGTCGATGCCCGGAGTTTCTATCAACGGGGAGATCTTGTTGAACTCTGACAAGATGAGCGACTTTTGTGTCTCCGATGAGTTGCCTAAAAAATACAGCTCGCAGTTGTCGGGACGGACCTCGAGACCTAACTTGGCACTTCGGAGATGATCATGCGGAAGTCGCGCAGAACGATGGCGTAATCTCCGCCTAAGTTACTATCGTCTAGATACCACAGGTTCAACTCTGATTCGACTTTGTGGGTGATTTCGTTCACAGTATCACAGAAAATTGGCGGTGCCTCAGGGTCGCCTTGCTGACCACCTTCGTCTGAAGACAAAGCGGAATCACCGATGAAAAGATGTGATGCGGAGTCATAAGCTGCGTGCGTATAAGGATAAAGACCCGGATAACGCTCGTGAATCAGAGAAAAAAACTTGATCCGGGAGATGGAATTGAACGCGTTCTTGAAACCTATTTTGAGAATGACCTTGCCGCTACTTTCAATATTGTCATGTAAGTACATTCGCGTGGCATGGACTGCAGCCTCTGCTCCTCGAGGCGTGCCATAGCCTAGTTGACGGGCGCCGTATGACTCTTTTCTAGCAGTTGAGTACGCGCGTCCACCACATTTGGAGGCCAATCTGCGGAAGACGTTTCGCGCAGCAATGGGACGAACTCATCCAGTCTTCTTGCTCACGGCGAACAGATTAGCTCCAAACACAAACGGGCGAATGAGAACCGGAACTTTTCCTGCCAGAACGATGTTGATAAAAGACGTGAGACTACTCAAGAAGGGCTGTGAGGCTTCTCCACGTTGACTGATTAGGTCTTTAAGAATCTGCGGAGTCACTCGATCAGGCCCAGCAGCAGAACCAGAAGGAAAAGACTGAATGGCTTTGGAGACACTAGAGACGCGGCAAACAACCGGAGACTCTGAAGAAGGGACTGGAATGGAGGAGACAGCATTGGAACGCGGGGGATGTTTTTTCCTCAGCTCGTCCACAACAGCAGGGTCACCAGGATCCACCATTTCCTCATCTTAGGAGGCAACACGAATGGCGCCTTTGATGTCGGAGGCTTCTATCTTCACAGAGACGCGCTTGCTCAGCTCTTCAGACGGAGACTGCGTGGAAGGCTTAGGTTTCCTCGCTTTCTTTTGGTCGCGAGTGGCTGGGGCTTCTTCACCAGACTGGAAAGCACAAATCCGCTCATTGACTTTGGAAGCTAGTGACTGACTGATATTTTTATCCTTCTTGGTTACTGATAGGCATTTACCTATAAGAGTAAATAAACTGCACCAATGGGACAAAAGATCCGGCTGTGAACAGATTTTGTCAAAAACAGTAATAAAAGCACGGGCTAAGTTGTTCCGTGAGGCTTTAGGAACACGCTTGAGGCAGTCAAGTCTATCAGAACAAAAAGCACGCAAGAGTTTTATGCACTGTGGTTCGTTGACAGAACTTACTACGTCCTACTCTGAGGTACCATGGTTCCTGCATTTACTCCCGTTGACTTTGTGCACTCGTACCAGTCCAGCTTGGGTGAGTTGGACATTCACCTTGCATACTTTACAACGTCTGACGGATACATCCGCTGCTTCACATGATCCGCATCGAAAAAACGTGAGATTGTTCGCTGCGTCCTCACTCTCGATGTTGACACATTTGCCGTGAAACCAGGAGTCGCAGGCATCGCAGCCAACCATGAAACCATGCTCGTCTGGATTTCCACAGAAGCAGGATGTTGGTCGCTGGGATCCGATGCGCCCACGGGATTGAGTTGTCCGTGTCGATGCCATATTGTGATATTCGTCAAGTCTTCAGCATGCCATCTGAAGTCTATTTAATAAGGTTATCACAACAATTAGGCTAATTGGGCGGATATAGGCGGATATAGGCGGATATAGGCCAATTAGGCGGATATAGCTTAAACATGCAAAAATATTGCGTTGAAAAAGCTTAACCATGGCGAGATAGTGAAGCCCGCATTCAAATATGTAATAGACAAGGTTGAGAATTTCACATTTTGTGAAAATTTTTCAAGTTACTTTCTTTCGAAATTTTTGAAAAATCTCAAAAATTGCCGTATCTCGTAAACTAAAAAGATTTGGTAACTCAAATATATAGGCCAAAATCGCAAAACTTGGGAAAGTTTTGACAGCATCTCATTATTTGGTTGTTAATTTCAAACTTGGGAAAATAAACATTGAATTTAAACTGGAAAATCGAAAAAAAAAACGTAACCATTGCAATATACGGATATAGCTTAAACATGCAAAAATAATACGTTGAAAAAGCTTAAACATGGCGAGATAGTGAAGCCTGCATTTAAATATATAAAAGAATATTGGGTTGTTAATTTCAAACTTGGGAAAATAAACATTGATTTTACACTGGAAAATCGAAAAAAAATCTTAACCATTGCAATATACTGATATAGCTAAAAATAAACTATTCTAATGGAAATTATGTACAAATTGCATGTATAATTATTTACAGGAATAACATAAAAACCATAAATCATCATGGTAGTATCACGCACCTTAAGAACCACTGTAAGAAGGCCGGATATGGACAACATAGACGATAGTGAAATGAACAGAAAGCAAGGTATGTACAAAATGTGAGTTTATGTACAAAATATAAACAGATGTTTAAAGGTAAACTGGCCTATTTGAGGAAATAATAAACGTCTGAGAGCGCGTCGCTATCTCCCAATGTCCCTAAGACAGACGCCGCGTTTCCAACTTGAATCGCAATGGAGATGCGTTGTTTCATGTAAAATGACGATTTTGGTTCTTGAGTAGTTTCGTTGAGTTTTCTACCCAGGGTCTTGAGAAATTTGAGCGTTTGTGGACCGCATCCGCCTTGAATCGCGAAAGAAACTGGGGCAAAAACGTATCCTCGATTTATTAAGTCAGCGTATTTAGAGGTTTTACGGTTTTCGGCTTCAGAGGCAGCAGAGAAATGAGATGCAGTGCCAGAGGACAGACGGCTTGGTGCCAGGGCGTCGACAACAGTGGCATCCCATATGAATGACTGACTTCTCTCCCAAGGCACCAACTCTCTGGACGTTTCTGGTCTGCTGTGGACATACCAGGAGGCTCGAGAACTGAAGGAATGTTGCTCGATCCTAAAGCTCGCTTCACTACATCGTTAATCATTGAGTGGCGCTGAAGCCTGCCGGCGCTTCTCCTGCACGAAAGACCGTGCCCTCCAAAAAGGTCGACGTGCTCACCACAACGGCAGACGTAAGGCTCACATATGGGGACACCAAGACGAAGAGCGAGAGATATTCTGAGATGGATATTGGAAAGCTTGAGGCCCAAAGAACTTGACGGCAGGGCGGTGAGCCAAGCAGACTGTAGCTTACCCTCGAAAGACTTAAGGCGAATGCGAGATTTATCGTCAGGTGCGTCGGTGATCAGATTATTAAGCCGGGTTCTGTATACGGGGTCAGACCAAGACTTCTGAAAATTGTTCTCGGGGATAGTGGTGGAGCCAGAGAGCTCATACCATTGTGACAAGGCTCCTTCATACAAATGGTCTGAGAAAGGCTTATTTAGGATTTCGGAACAAAGGCGTGAAGAACTGCCAACAGACGAGAGATACCCGCATACGGCAAGAACAGACGCATATCCTAATCCGAGACCACCTAAAGCTGCGGGAAGGGACGTTTGCTTGCGGGCGTCAGTATCAAGTCTTATGTTGCAGATGCTCTCGAGGCTGGAGTAGAGGATGTCGTCGTATTTAGCTAAGAGTTCAGGGTAGTTGAAACACGGAGAGGAGCGAAGGATATATAACAACTTCGGGATAGAAAACGAACTCTTCAAAGGAAAGAAAGCATGATGAGCCTCGATGTTTTTCAGACGCAAAAACATGCGCTCCAAATCAGCTATCTTGTCACTGAGAGCATTGGAGATGGCAAGATTCCCTACAGGAGCCCCCAGGATTATCAAGTTGTCGATGCCCGGAGTTTCTATCAACGGGAGATCTTGTTGAACTCTGACAAGATGAGCGACTTTTGTGTCTCCGATGAGTTGCCTAAAAAATACAGCTCGCAGTTGTCGGGACGGACCTCGAGACCTAACTTGGCACTTCGGAGATGATCATGCGGAAGTCGCGCAGAACGATGGCGTAATCTCCGCCTAAGTTACTATCGTCTAGATACCACAGGTTCAACTCTGATTCGACTTCGTGGGTGATTTCGTTCACAGTATCACAGAAAATTGGCGGTGCCTCAGGGTCGCCTTGCTGACCACCTTCGTCTGAAGACAAAGCGGAATCACCGATGAAAAGATGTGATGCGGAGTCATAAGCTGCGTGCGTATAAGGATAAAGACCCGGATAACGCTCGTGAATCAGAGAAAAAAACTTGTTCCGGGAGATGGAATTGAACGCGTTCTTGAAATCTATTTTGAGAATGACCTTGCCGCTACTTTCAATATTGTCATGTAAGTACATTCGCGTGGCATGGACTGCAGCCTCTGCTCCTCGAGGCGTGCCATAGCCTAGTTGACGGGCGCCGTATGACTCTTTTCTAGCAGTTGAGTACGCGCGTCCACCACATTTGGAGGCCAATCTGCGGAAGACGTTTCGCGCAGCAATGGGACGAACTCCTCCAGTCTTCTTGCTCACGGCGAACAGATTAGTTCCACACACAAACGGGCGAATGAGAACCGGAACTTTTCCTGCCAGAACGATGTTGATAAAAGACGTGAGACTACTCAAGAAGGGCTGTGAGGCTTCTCCACGTTGACTGATTAGGTCTTTAAGAATCTGCGGAGTCACTCGATCAGGCCCAGCAGCAGAACCAGAAGGAAAAGACTGAATGGCTTTGGAGACACTAGAGACGCGGCAAACAACCGGAGACTCTGAAGAAGGGACTGGAATGGAGGAGACAGCATTGGAACGCGGGGGATGTTTTTTCCTCAGCTCGTCCACAACAGCAGGGTCACCAGGATCCACCATTTCCTCATCTTAGGAGGCAACACGAATGGCGCCTTTGATGTCGGAGGCTTCTATCTTCACAGAGACGCGCTTGCTCAGCTCTTCAGACGGAGACTGCGTGGAAGGCTTAGGTTTCCTCGCTTTCTTTTGATCGCGAGTGGCTGGGGCTTCTTCACCAGACTGGAAAGCACAAATCCGCTCATTGACTTTGGAAGCTAGTGACTGACTGATATTTTTATCCTTCTTGGTTACTGATAGGCATTTACCTATAAGAGTAAATAAACTGCACCAATGGGACAAAAGATCCGGCTGTGAACAGATTTTGTCAAAAACAGTAATAAAAGCACGGGCTAAGTTGTTCCGTGAGGCTTTAGGAACACGCTTGAGGCAGTCAAGTCTATCAGAACAAAAAGCACGCAAGAGTTTTATGCACTGTGGTTCGTTGACAGAACTTACTACGTCGTACTCTGAGGTACCATGGTTCCTGCATTTACTCCCGTTGACTTTGTGCACTCGTACCACTCCAGCTTGAGTGAGTTGGACATTCACCTTGCATACTTTACAACGTCTGACGGGTACATCCGCTGCTTCACATGATCCGCATCGAAAAAACGTGAGATTGTTCGCTGCGTCCTCACTCTCGATGTTGACACTTTTGCCGTGAAACCAGGAGTCGCAGGCATCGCAGCCAACCATGAAACCATGCTCGTCTGGATTTCCAAAGAAGCAGGATCTTGGTCGCTGGGATCCGATGCGCCCACTGGATTGAGTTGTCCGTGTCGATGCCATATTGTGATATTCGTCAGGTCTTCAGCATGCCATCTGAAGTCTATTTAATAAGGTTATCACAACAATTAGGCTAATTGGGCGGATATAGGCGGATATAGGCGGATATAGGCCAATTAGGCGGATATAGCTTAAACATGCAAAAATAATACGTTGAAAAAGCTTAACCATGGCGAGATAGTGAAGCCCGCATTGAAATATATAAAAGAATATTGGGTTGTTAATTTCAAACTTGGGAAAATAAACATTGATTTTAAACTGGAAAATCGAAAAAAAAATCTGAACCATTGCAATATACGGATATGGCTTAAACATGCAAAAATATTACGTTGAAAATGCTTAACCATGACGAGATAGTGAAATCCGCATTTAAATATATAATAGATCATTGGGTTGTTAATTTCAAACTTGGGAAAAAAAACAGTGATTTTAAACTGGAAAATCGAAAAAAAATCTTAACCATTGCAATATACGAATATAGCTTAAACGTGCAAAAATATTACGTTGAAAAAGCTCAACCATGGCGAGATAGTGAAGCTCGCATTCAAATATATGATAGACAAGGTTGAGAATTTCACATTTTGTGAATTTTTTTCAAGTTACTTTTTTTCGAAATTTTTGAAAAATCTCAAAAATTGCCGTATCTCGTAAACTAAAAAGCTTTGGTAACTCAAATATGGAGGCCAAAATTTAAAAACCTGGGGAAGTTTTGACAGCATCTCAAAATTTGGTTGTTAATTTCAAACTTGAGAAAATAAACATTGAATTTAAACTGGAAAATCGAAAAAAAATCTTAACCATTGCATTATACGGATATAGCTTAAACATGCAAAAATAATACGTTGAAAAAGCTTAACCATGGCAAGATAGTGAAGCCCGCATTGAAATGAATAATAGAATATTGGGTTGTTAATTTCTAACTTGGGAAAATAAACATTGATTTTAAACTGGAAAATCGAAAAAAAAATCTCAACCATTGCAATATACGGATATAGCTTAAACATGCAAAAATAGTACGTTGAAAAAGCTTAACCATGGCGAAATAGTGAAGCCCGCTTTTAAATATATAATAGATATATAATAGAAAATTGGGTTGTCAATTTCAAATTTGGGAAAATAAACATTGAATTTAAACTGGTAAATCGAAAAAAAAAATCTTAACCATTGTAATATACGGATAAAGCTTAAACATGCTAAAATAATAAGTTGAAAAAGCTTAACCATGGCAAGATAGTGAAGCCCGCATTTAAATAAATAGTAGAATATTGGGTTGTTAATTTCAAACTTGGGAAAATAAACATTGATTTTAAACTGGAAAACCGAAAAAAAATGCTTAACCATTGCAATTTACGGATATAGCTTAAGCATGCAAAAATAATACGTTGAAAAAGCTTTACCATGGCAAGATAGTGAAGCCCAAATTTGAATATAATAGATACATAAAATAAAATTGGGTTGTTAATTTCAAACTTGGGAAAATAAACATTGAATTTAAACTGGAAAATCGAAAAAAAAATCTTAACCATTGCAATATACGGATATAGCTTAAACATGCAAAAAATAAAACGTTGAAAAAGCTTAACCAAGGCAAGATTGTGAAACCTGCATTTAAATTTATAATAGAATAATGCGTTGTTAATTTCAAACTTGGGAAAATAAACATTGATTTTAAATTGTAAAATCGAAAAAAAAATCTTAACCATTGCAATATACGGATATAGCTTAAGCATGCAAAAATAATACGTTGAAAAAGCTTTACCATGACGAGATAGTGAAGTCCGCATTTGAATATATAGTAGATATATAAAAGAAAATTGGGTTGTTAATTTCAAACTTGGGAAAATAAACATTGAGTTTTAACTGGATAATCGAAAAAAAAACCTTAACCATTGCAATATACGGATATAGCTAAAACATGCAAAATAATACGTTGAAAAAGCTTAACCATGGCGAGATAGTGAAGCCCGCTTTCAAATATATGAAAGATATAATAGATAATAAATTAATTGAAATAACCCAAAATTAAATTGCAAAATTGCACAATTAATTGCAAGCACGAACCATTACGCTTGGTTAACAACGTTTGACACGAGTTCACTCTGTATAATTAATCAATATTTTCTGCAAGTTTTAGAAAAAATCACAAAAAACGTAATATCTCGAAAATTACAAGGATTTGAGCAGTCATATTTGGAGGCAAGATTTGCAATGCTTGATAGTACTCTGACAGTACCCAACTACAGGGTTGGGAGTTTCAGACTTTGCGAATAAAAAGTAATACATTTTCTGAGAATTTTTGAAAAAAAAAAATCATAAAAAACGTCATATCACGAAAACTACAAAGATTTGAGAAGTGAGAATTGGAGGCAAGATTTGCAACACCTGAGAGCACCCTGACAGCTACCAACTACAAGGGTGAGAATTTCATATTTTGTGAAATTTTTTCAAGTTACTTTTTTTCGAAACTTTTGAAAAATCTCAAAAATTGCCGTATCTCGTAAACTAAAAAGATTCGGTAACTCAAATATGGAGGCCAAAATCGCAAAACCTGGGGAACTTTTGACAGCATGTCAATATTTGGTTGTTAATTTCAAACTTGGGAAAATAAACATTGAATTTAAACTGGAAAATCGAAAAAAAATCTTAACCATTGCAATATACCGAAATAGCGTAAACATGCAAAAAAATACGTTGAAAAAACTTAACCATGGCAAGAAAGTGAAGCCCGCTTTCAAATATATGAAAGATATAATAGATAATAATTTAATTGAAATAACCCAAAAATAAATTGCAAAATTGTACAATTAATTGCAAGCACGAACCATTACGCTTGGTTAACAACGTTTGACACGAGTTCACTCTGTATAATTAATCAATATTTTCTGAAAATTTTAGAAAAAATCACAAAAAACGTAATATCTCGAAAATTACAAGTATTTGAGCAGTCATATTTGGAGGCAAGATTTGCAATGCTTGATAGTACTCTGACAGTACCCAACTACAGGGTTGGGAATTTCATATTTTATGAAATTTTTTCAAGTTACTTTTTTTCGAAACTTTTGAAAAATCTCAAAAATTGCCGTATCTCGTAAACTAAAAAGATTTGGTAACTCAAATATAGAGGCCAAAATCACAAAACATGGGGAAGCTTTGACAGCATCTCAATATTTGGTTCTTAATTTCAAACTTGGGAAAATAAACATTGAATTTAAACTGGAAAATCGAAAAAAAATTTTAACAATTGCAATATACGGATATAACTTAAACATGCAAAAATAAGACGTTGAAAAAGCTTAACCATGGCGAAATAGTGAATCCCGCATTTAAATATATAATAGATTTAAACTGGAAAATCGAAAAAAATCTTAACCATTGCAATATACGGATATAGCTTAAACATGCAAAAATAAGACGTTGAAAAAGCTTAACCATGGCGAGATAGTGAATCCCGCATTCAAATATATGATAGATATAATAGATAATAGATTAATTGAAACCGCCTAAAATTAATTTGCAAAATTGTACAATTAATTGCAAGCGAGAACCATCACGCTTGGTTAACAACGTTTGACATGAGTTCACTCTGTATAATTCATTAATATTTTCTGAAAATTTTAGAAAAAATCACAAAAAACAGAATATCTCGAAAACTACAAGAATTTGAGCAGTCATATTTGGAGGCAAGATTTGCAATGCTTGATAGTACTCTGACAGTACCCAATTACAGGGTTGGGATCTTCAGACTTTGCGAAAAAAAGTAATAATTTTTCTGAAAATTTTTGAAAAAAAATCATAAAAAACTTCATATCTCAAAAAATACAAAGATCTGAGAAGTTAGATTTGGAGGCAAGGTTCGCAACACCTGAGAGCACCCTGACAGCACCCAACTACAAGGTTGAGAATTTCATATTTTGTGAAATTTGTTTTTGGTCAAGTTACTTTTTTTCGAAACTTCTGAAAAATCTCGAAAATTGCCGTATCTCGTAAACTAAAAAGGTTTGGTAACTCAAATATGGAGGCCAAAATCGCAAAACCTGGGGAAGTTTTGACAGCATCTTAATATTTGGTTGTTAATTCCAAACTTGGGAAAATAAACATTGAACCTAAACTGGAAAATCGAAAAAAAAATCTTAACCATCGCAAAATACGGATATAGCTTAAACATGCAAAAATAATACGTTGAAAAAGATAACCATGGCAAGATTGTGAAGCCTTCATTTAAATTTATAATAGAA